TTAATTTCTGTAGTTCATATTGGTGTATAGAAGACATTTCAATACTTGAAATAAATGATCTTATACTACCAAATTTCTCTATCCTCTGCAAGTCTAATACTGACCTGGAATTATTGATCAAAGAAACCCTCCGCATCAAACAGCACTCTCCAACTCTGAACAACATGCAGTCTTCATTTAAATTACACATTTTTTAGTATGTTCGTATCACTGAATTTTCGTTGTGTTTTGTTGCTGTAGTTTCTCCCCATGATTACTGTTTAGTGTTTTATTTGTTTAATTATCATTATATTTGGCAACTGTATTTTGAAAATGTACAAAGACTGATGTAATTCATTTCATTCTGCTTTAGATACTGAAGATGGAATCTGATAGAATTCCGAAACGTTTATCCGTGTCCCCTTTTTTTTTTCAATAAACAATGTTGTATATCATAAGTGTTGTAATCTTGTTTATAATCAAACCTTGTTTCCTTCGAACACGTCGATTGCTAACTTTAACAATGTTATGGAAGAAAAAGATCTTGATGTTCTGGTTGATCTGTTTCATAAACTATCCAAGCAATGTGCTGTTGCTCGTGGTAGGACAAGTAGGATTTTAGGTTGTTTCTACAAAAATATTGAATTCAAGTCTAAATAGGCTATATATAATTTCATTGTATATCTCATTGGTTAGACCACATTAAAAGTACTATGTTCATTGTTGGACCTCTTACGTTAGAAAGGACATAGAATTGTTGGAACTTTTTCAGAGGAAAACTACTAGGATAATTCCTTGTAGGGAAAGGTTGTTATACAAGAACAGGTAAAGATCTCTTGATTAAAGAAGAGTTACAAGGGATCTAACTGAGGTGTTTAAGATTGTAAAGGGAATTGACCGTGTTGATGTATCACCCTTTTTTGTTTTATTGGGGAAATTGGGAAGACAAGGGGACACAGTTATAAATTTTGTCAGGATAGGAGTCATTTCCAGCTAAGACAGCTTTATTTTTGTAAGAGGATGGTTGGCCTTTAAAATGGGTTACCTTCAGATTTAGTAGGTTCAGTTAATTTAAGGGAAAGCTTGATATATAGTTAAATGATAAGGGCTGGTTTTGAGTGTGTTTGTTAGAGTTTAGTATAGTGGATGGGATGGCCAAGATTGATCAACAGGTTCCTTGTTGTCCTTAAATTGTATATATATATATGTATTGATAGGAAAAAGGCTTACGATTTATTTGTGATGAATCTTAAAGGAAATAGGATGAGAGGACATGTTTCACATTTGGCAAGGCTCCAATTAAAACAGATTTATCTTTTTAAAAGGGTGATTAATTTTCATTAGCAAGTTGTAAATGTTGGCATCTTAAAAGTGTTTAAAAGGACAAACAATTTTTTATTTTCTCTTGTGGGGGAGGGGGCCTTGAAGAATCAAATGGTCCCATTTTGTCAGAATTTGATGTTATTTTTTAAGAACTTCATATCAAAGATAAGCAAACTACAGTCAGAGCCAAAAAGTAAATATATATTTATGTTTTATCATAAACTAACTATCAACTATTGGCATGAATTAATTTACAAGAATACCAAAATTAATATAATTAAAGTACATTGATCAGTTTCTTGTCCTCACATTTAACAGTATTTTTGGTTGTAACACCAAGGAATGGTTAATGAACATTCTGTTTTTAAGTATATAATTAAATATTGAAACATTGTTACATGCAAATTAATTGTGTTCTTTTTTTATCTAGTCTTATTCTACCATTAAGTATCATGGATTTTAGGGTAGTCCTAATATTTTAAGATTTGATTCACTGCACTCATCCCCTCATTTTTTTTCAATATGTAAATAAGCAACTCACACCAACTTTTATTGAATAACATATAGTGGTTGCTCAGGGTAGTTGAAATTTTATCTTGTATCTTGCATGATATATCTGCATATTCTAAATAATTCTGGAATGTTATATTATTATGGAACATTCTTGTACATTCTGAAATATTCCAGAGTATTCCATATTATTCAGTATGTTCAAGAACATTTTACTTCTGGAAAAGAATAAGTGGATCATCTGCCAGTGATCCTGCCTGGAGACGGAGTAAACCAACTCACAGGTATTCCAAAGCTCAAGCTTCCATTGTGGCACATTTGCTGGAAGAGTTGGGAGTCACTGGTGCTGTAAAGGCAATTTGCTTTCACACAACAGCAAGCAACACTGATAACAAAAATAGAGCATGTGCACTATTAGAACAAAGATGAAATAAGAATATTCAGTATTTGACATGCCAGCAATATATTTCTGAACATTTTCTGGCAGGTGTTTTCGAAAAGTGTAATGAGCTTTCCCCTGGTCCAAATATTGCAGTTGATTCTAGCAATTTTGGAAATGCATGACCACTCCAGTTATGAAACTGTAGCTGATCATGAAAGTAACAAACAACCATAGAAGAAGTTAAGGACAGTGTCATTGAATTTGCTACAAGACAACTTCAGGTCAGCCAACCTAGAGATGATCATTGAGAGTTTTTTGAACTGGTCATAACTTTTTTGGTGGCATCTCTTCTCATAGAGTGCAGTTTATAGTACCTGAAGTACTGTATCATGCATGATGGATGGCCAAGGCATTGTATGCTCTCAATGTCTGGATGTATATGGGACAGTTTAAGCTCACTGGCTATGAAATAAGAGAATTTCATGACATCTCAATCTTTGTCATTGGAGTCTATCTTAGGGCATGGTTCACTGCTCTTGAGGCCATTTCTGCTCTTCTCGGTGATCTTAACTTCCTACAATGTCTTGTTAAGTTTAAGAAGGTAAATTCTGCTTTTTCAAAAATATATCTGTCAACAACTTGCTAGACATTTATAGTATCTCAATGAGGAACTCATTGATTTGGTATTCTTTGATTCAACTGTATCCACAGAGATAAAACAAGCAATGGTAAAGGCACTAAATAAGTAGAAAGGCTTGGATGAACCTTTAAAGTACTTTCAGGTGAATATGAAGAAGTCTGGGGACATGTCAGTTGAAGATTTTGTCACAAAATCACAACAGATTTCATCAGGTGCTTTGAAATTATATCTACATTTCTGGATTATGACTCCAGGAGCTCAGGGAGGCATTACAGACAGTTCAACACTTGCATGTGGTAAATGAAAATGCTGAAAGGGATGTGACTCTTACTGAGGAGTACAGGGCCATCATAACAAAGAAAGAAGAACAGAAACAATTCCTTCTTCAAGTTGTGCAGGATCACAGAAGATGCTTTCCTAACAACAAAAAAAAGAAATAGTAACAGTGCAAAAATGACCAATCACACCAAAATCATATAATTATGTAATACGTGCAATAAAATTATATATTTTAAATAAATTGTTTATAATACATAACAAATATGTTTTATATTGCGTAGTATATACAGTACCATGCCACTGCTGTCTATAACTTCAACCTAACTGAGTAACCTCTTAATATGATCCAAAATGGGTGAAGTTTGACATTTAATGAGAGCTTTAGAATTTTAAATCTGAAATTTTACCTTCAGATAAGAACCACCCTAATGACTTGTTGTTTTGAATGCAAGAAAGTTTAAAGTTCTGCAGTAATGTTCTTTCATTCATAATGTGATTATGGTTTCAAACTAGATGTTGTACAAGTGTCATTTTTACAGCTTGTACTACAGTTATTTTAGTTGTTTTTTTTTTCTTAAGAATTAACAAAATTGAATTAAGGAAGAAAGTAAAACTTGGAAATTATAAAATAATATACTTTGTTGAAATTATTTCCACCCACCATTTATGTTATTAAAAGTAGTCCCTATCAATTTCTAAATAGTATCTGGCATTACATGTTACTTCTTGATACTGAAAGCTCTATGAGTTTGTTACAATCATTCATGTGTTTTATTTATGTATAC